TGGCAGCCGTGGGGATGGAGCGGGGCCGCGCGTGCCCGTGTGCGGGGCGGCGGCGCGGGGACGCGCGTGCCCTCCGTGCAGGCGCTTGTTGCGCGTGGAGAGGTCTCGTCTGCGCGTGGCTCACGTGCGCCTTGTTGCGGCTGCTCTTCTGGCAGCCTTAACGCTGCAGCGGAGAAGACAAGTTCATAACGCCGGAGACCCTCACGTTTCCCAGCTAATTTCAGGCTTTATTTTTATTTATTTATATATTTGGCTTAGCTGTTTCTGCCGTTGTCGTTTGCCTGTGAACTCTACCCTAAAAGTCAAACGGTGCCGTGCTCTGCAGCCACTCGTGTTGAGCAACTCTGCCTGTGAGTGTGGCTGAAGGCTGTTGCACCACGTTCTTAAACAAACACGAATGGGCTATTGCAAACAGAGATAGAGTGAAATGTGTGCAGAGGACTCAAGGCAGGCTTTTATTTTTATTATTTTTATTTTTCCTCATTAGTAAAGCTAAATTCATCTGTCATCAATCCCTCCCTTCCTCCAGCCTTGATGTTAATACTGAACGCCTGGGATGGTACCTGCAAGTCCCTTTTTAACCAGTTGTAACCCAGCAAACTGAGCAAGACTCTAGACTTAAAATATATTTCCTGTTTTTGATTCTGAATACTTTTTCTGAGTTCTCGCATCTTCCACTGGTGTAGGAGCCTTTCAACTCCAAAGAATAATAAAGCAACGGTGGAGTTGTCCATGCTAATAAGTCACTTAACTTTATTAGGAAGTTGGCAAAGGCTTTGCAATGTTCCCTGCACCTGTACCCCTCGTTCCCTGCTTGGCTTGATCAGCTTTTGGTAGGGAACTATTTTCTGTAAGTCCAGTCTAGTGGAGATAGTCCTTGTGCCAGGATTTTTTTTGTGTAGTTTTGGAGGACTGCTGCAGTAAAAAGTGATCTTCCTGGGAGCCCCAAGCCTAGGCTGGGCTGTCCTAAGTCTGTGGCCATTGCGGGCTGTGGGGAACCACAGGTTTTACGTGATAGGCCCAGCAACAAAGAGCTTCAATTCTGTTAGCCAAGAGGGGAAAAGCATCGTGGCATCTGATAACTTGCGCTGACTGAAACTTCACCCCTCATGGAGCCTGGACTCCAAAAGCACGTTTAGTTTAGATGTGGTATTGACTGGATTATTGAAACATGCATCAAGTGGCACTGATGTTAACTAACTACTCAAAACTTGGACTTCTGTTAAGTGACTGGGTCTGCTGGAGCTGATGGAAGCCCTATTTTTTTTTCCACAGAAGCTTTTTTTATCCTAGCTTTTTTCATCTAGTAAAAATAGACAACACTGGTAATTGTTTTGTTTTGTTTGTTTTTGGCTTTTTCTCCTATGAGTACTCAAAAAAAATGCTTAGAGCTGCCAAAATGGCATATATATGATTGGTATATATGAATGGTTCTAATATATAAATTGGTATATATGAATGGTTCTGCATCTTAACCTTTGCTTTTCAATGATTTTTGAGGCCTGCCACTGTATTAAAATGTCATGGCTTTTTCTCCTATGCTTTGCCTTTTGTGCATGACAGCTTGGTTTGAGTAACAGGAAAGAAAATTGTTTAACAGGAGAGGCATTTTGTCATGACCAAAACCAACCTCTTCTATTGGTAGTATGGTCAGTAAGTGCAGAAGGTGTCATCGTATCCCTTGCACTTCCTAACGTGGAGGCGCCCTGTGGGGCTCTACCACCCTGGTGGAGCTTCCTACGCAAGGAGGAGATGTGGGTGATTCAGAGGGGAGCTGCCCAGAGCCCAGCAGGGTGTTTGGGGCTCTATTAAATTAGTCATCCATCAACAAACACACCCGCTCTTAGCACATGTCCCCTGTGGGTCCTGGTTGCCTGACCTGTGTCAGGGCTGTTTGTCACTCTGTCCTTCTGCCTGGCACTGACCCTTCTCTAGAAGGAAAGTGCTCAGCCCTGTGGTAGAAGCACTGCCAGTTTCCTGAAACCACCAAGACCGTTCACGCTCATGCCCTATGAGAAGGAGAGAGGTTTCTACCAGCCAAATGTGTGCATATGTTGAAAGAAAGGGAGCCCAGTTTTCAGATAGCACTGATAGGTAGTAGCTTGAGCTAGAATGGAGAAGGAAAATTGCCTTTCTGAAAATACATTAGAAGCTGCGGTAGTGCTGGAGGAGCTGGTGAAGAAGAGACCTTTTTTCTCCTTGGGTGAGAGGTAGTAGCCTAAAGCTGTGTAGAAGGGCAGTTCAGGATGACAGCAAGTAGGAAACGAATTTCTGAAACTCTGTCTGGTTCTTTATGAAAATGACTGCTCATGCATCCCAGAAGGCATGCTTTAAAAATGGGTAAAAGGTCTGGAAAAGATCTTCTCCTTACTCACTGCGGACTTGCACAAAAAGGCGAAAAGTAGGAGGGAATTTTTTTTTGAATAACTTTATTCATCATATTTCATCATTTTTCTAGGAATGCCTGCAGTCACTCTTGTGATGTGGAGGAAAAGACTGCTAATTCACTTCCTCCTCCTCTGTGGAAGTGTCTGAGAATAGTGTTTCCTCTATGAAGCTGGTATCTTACCCTGATGTTGTGTGAGAACAAAGTAGGGACACATCCATTCCCAACCTTGTGCAACTTTGTATTAATGAGAAATAGGTATCCAGGGAATAAAAGTCAAGAATTGAGAGATGAAATACTTTCTTACATCCAAGACTAGTTTAAAAACAGTTCAGCCCTTTCCAGGTATCATGCAGAAGGGGGTTTTTGGCAATCTGTCCGGCTATTGAATTTACCAATACAATTTGGCAGCAATAAGTTATCACTGGGTGTAGAGGGGAGCAATTCCCCACCTTGTTGTGGGAGCAGTCGCCACTCATGTGCTCAGATTTCCTAAGAGAACCTAAGTGGTCACTATTAAAGCAGGAGGTTGCTCAGGATAAACTCAGAACCATCTTTTTGGAACTGCCTGAATTCTTCCAGGCTCTCTGCTGTCATGGCCTGGCACTCTCCATTACATACTCTCATCTCACCTCACTTTTGACTCATTTGTGTCCTAAGGTATCAAAGAAGAAATGAGTTTTATTTTGTCATTTCCCAAATTAGATGGAATTTTGTAGACTGTAGACAGTATTTAGAGAACACACAAATGTCTTAGTTATTTACAAGTCAATTATAGAAAGAATTCACTGACGGCCTAATAATAGGTGTTTAAAATATAATAAGAAAATTATTTAGCCTTCCTGAAGCAAGCTCTTATTTGAAATAATTAGCTGGGAGTAGTCCTTGTGAACTATCTGAATGAGTATTTATCTTGAGGGTAAAGTGATCTGTATCACTGGATGTGGTAAGAGTAAGAACTGCCTTTCCAGTTCACCACAGTGTTAAAACCTGTTGGCCTCGCTGGAACAGAGACCTCGACATCAGCTGAGCCAAGAAGGAACTTGACCCACACCTGCTCAAAATGGTTTTCATTTTAGAAGTGTTTTCCGATGTCACTGGTGAGAGAACAGTTCAGAGACAAGTGTCTGGGGAGGCTGTGTTAATATTTAGTTTGGAAAGCAAGCTCGGCAAGTCCGGCGTGAGCTTGTGTAACGTGCTGATGTCACTGAACTCGAGAGTCCTTCTCACAGTGCTTGACATGGCTGTTCTTTTAACTACGTTGAAATTCTCTTTATCTTAGATCTTTGGTATCCATGGGAGCATCTGTGGGAGCAGTAACAAAACAGACCCTGTTCCCTCCTCTCATGCCTGCAGGACGACCTTTTCGTGTATCCAATGCCTCCAGAAGCAGTCGGAAAGGGATTATGGCCAGCAGTCTGCAAGAGCTCATCAGCAAGGTAGAGGAAAGCTCCCATTCTCACCAAAACTTACACCGAAATACTGTGTGATGGGAAGGTGACCCATAGGCTTCTTCCAAAAATCACTCCTGGGAAGGTTTAAGGGAATGTGGCACATGAGCAACTCTGAATACTTGATGACAGGGAAAAAAAGGATCATGGTGATGTGCCACCTCTTATGTGCTATAATCTATTTTATTCCAGACCTTAGATGCATTCTTCATATCTGCTGGAATAGTTACTCTGGTTTTGGAGGAAGATGGCACAGTTGTGGAAACAGAGGAGTTTTTTCAGTCCCTGGATGATAACACACACTTCATGATCCTAGAAAAGGGACAGAAATGGACACAAGTAAGTGCTTGCTTGGAGAGAGGGTAAGAGAGGGAGAAAACTTCCCTTAAAGGAGGCAAGTGTTGCAGATTGATGCTAAGCCTTCCTAGATAATGAATCAAGTGGGAGTGTGGTGTGGTGTGTTTTTTTTGTTTGGTTTGTGTTTTTTTTTTTTTTCCTGCCCCTTACTTGAACACAGAACTCATGACACAGATGTGCCATGAATTGAATGAAAACAAATGTATGGGGAAAATTGCAATTTGGGAAAATCTAATAACCTCATTCTTAAGCATGTGTGTAATATAAAGGAAATGAGGGCTTTCTGTTAAGCTGAAAACACAATCTCTTTAAAGGTATCTTTTAGAGCAGAGAAAAGACCAAACCAAATAATGCAAAATATATGACTCTACCTGGCTGCTTCCCCTCTGCCCTGTGTGGCATGGTGCAGGATTAGCTTCAATGCAGCCCCTGTGAGTGTCCTGAGTGACAGTGTAAGGACATCACAACTCCACCGTAAATCGCCTGGAGTGCAGAGGAAGTTATGTCAGGCTACATCAAACATCCCGAGGGCTCACAGGGTATCCTACAGGAATACCCAAATGCACGTACACACTGCAAACCTCTACTGGAGGGGGACAGTTGTTTGAGCTCAGCTTGGAGGCTATCGAAGTAAAAGAACCGGGCATAAAAATGCTGCTAATGACGTAGGGCAGCGCTCAGCCATATTTGCCTTGGCACTGGCTGAGCACTGGGGTAACAAGAGCGAAAAACCCCAGTCTTACACAACTCTATTGCTTCATCTAATATGCAGAAACAGATCGTTAGCTGCCAAATTATTAATCTTTAGTAAAACGTGGTGAGTAAAGTAACTCATGTATCCACTAGATGTCTCCCTAAAGATAGGGCTTGCTTACTGATTTTTTCCTTTTCTTGGAGTAAGTGACCTAGTCCTGAAAGGCACAAGGGCTGCTTGTGTTAAAACTTGCTGGGCAGAAGTGGCAGGAGTTAGGATGGAATGTTCCATGTTCCTTCTTTGCTTTTTCTTTTTAAAATTAGCATGGAGTACTAGGCATAATCAATAATGGCTTCACTCCACATCCCTTAGTAAGAAAAGGGTGTTATGAGCCAGTGTTTGAAGTAATTTTTTTTTTTTAAACTTTCACAGATGTCATCTTTGCAGCCATTGATAGGGTTTCTTGTTAATAATTTTTCTTCCTAAAATGAAGAACCTAGTGTCTCATTTTCCATTGAAATAGCAGCGATAGCATCCACTGAGATTTCTTGCAGTCTCAGTGTAGCCTGAAAAGGTGTAGCCGTATCGAAGTAAAGGCACGTTTGAGACGTGTTATGTCACTTCAGAACTTGAGCTCTAAAAACCCAAAAACTGGGTCTATTTGGGATAGTTTCAGAGACCTGATCAAGACTTGGACAAAATTATACAAGCTACAGATTTGCTTTTCTCTAACCACTAATGCTTTTAATTCAAATTTAGAATTGTTTGAGAACTAGCACGAAAACTGAGTTGCTCCCCAAAACTGCTATATTGACAGTTGCCTTCCTTGTTCTGCAGGCTTATAATTTGTGTCTTTTTTTTTTTTTTAACTAGACAAGAAATGCACTCACGCCAATGAAGGAAAAGAAGAAAATGGGAGTAGCTAACATCACATTTGATCTGTACAAGCTGAATCCCAAAGATTTTATTGGCTGCTTAAACGTGAAGGCCACTTTCTATGAGATCTACTCTGTGTCATATGATATCAAATGTATGGGAGCAAAAAGCATACTGCGGTAAGTATACACATCCATGCTAACCAGGCATAGCTTTTAATGGCAAAACCTTGTGCTTGCTTGCCAATTCTGTGACAGCAGGTGTGTTTATGAACTTAGTATTTTTTTATTAATTCTTACAAATTGGTCAACATGCTGGAGCTTCTGGTGAAAGGTGGATAGCTACCTTATAAAAGGTCCAAAAAAAGTAAGTACAACTAGATATAGTCCTTCATAGAGGAATCTTAAGGTTTTGTCTTTGTGGAAGTTTATCAGCTTGGACTCCTAACGCCCAAGGTACAAGCTTTTTTCCTGTTTGAGAGAATCCCCCAGACTTTTGACTTTTTGAAAGCTACAGGAGGCTGAGGAATGAGTATCGCATTCTTTAGATTGGTACCACAATAGGGCAAAATTAGATGGGAATCTGAGCTTTAATGGCAGAGATGTATCTTGAAGCTTGAGATTTTGCAAAACCTGGCATGCAGAGACAACAAAGAAAGGCAAGAAAAGATGCTCTGCTGGGACCAATGTCACTGTTGTTAAGCAAACTGACAGAGCCTATAGAAGGCCACTGGTTCCCCCAGGATTGAGCTCGGATGAGTCGTGGGTTTGGCAGAACTGGCTGTTGGGAGCTGTTGCCTCACACGGATGCAAAATAATCTCCATGTGTCCTGTCCACTGCTTTCAAGTCTTTGTCTTGTCAAAAGCAGCTGTGTCTGCCTCTGAAGAAATAGCCCCTTTGCAGAGGTACCACACTTCTGCACTGACAAATGTTTACTTATGGTCTTGCACTGCTCTACCTGACCTATCAAGATCTGACCTGTACAGAGCAGTCAGGTCTATGTGCCTCCAAGTGGGGTTTACACTTCATTTGAGCAACATGCAATTTGAAGAGTTCAGGTAGTCCCTAGCCTCAGGATGCAAGTCTTAAATATAAAATGCTAATCTTATTCACTGTCTTATGTCTGGCTGACCTCCCCACTGTACTTAGCTAGTCCTTTGCTTAATCTTTCAGGTTAAAGCTGGTGTGACTGTAAATGAGACTTGTGTCTTTGATTTGTGTACAGTAGTTACACTGCTCTGTGCAGTACTGGCTTCATTAGAGTTTCTTCAAAGCCAAGGGCTGACACCCTTGGACAGCTGCACTCCCCCAGTTCCTGTGTTTGTCAGGCCTCTTGAGCCAGAACAAACTCTGACTTCTGGCTATCTGTTGTGGCAGTGATTATCAGCACTGGAACTTGCAGTGTTTGAGAAGGAATTTAAGTGATAGCTCTGCCTGCCAGCACAGTGCAGCTGGTGAGAAAGAAGTGGTGCTGGGAAACAGCTGAAGAAGCTGCTGAATTCTTCTAGGAGCTCTGTTATTCCACAAAGAGTGGGCTGTAAGGGAAGCACCAGCACAAGGGTGGGAAAACAGCCCATGGGCAGCCAGAACAGTGAGAAGAGAGGCAATAACCTTAGACACTCTTGAGTTTAACTGAGACCATCTGTCTCGACTTGCTGCTTGGATTGGAGTCAGATTGGAGTCAGACTGTTTGTCCTTCTGCTAATGGGTGCCAAATTACTGCCTCCGATGCCCTATCCCCGAGCCCTCCCACGCAGTGCAAAGGGGACCAGCTTTAACACGCTGCAGGTCACTGGAGGGAGGTGCTTGCTGCCTGCCGCTCTGGTCAGTGCATTTCCCCTAATGGTTTCTCCCTCCAGCCGAAGGATCAAATGTTCAGTTCAACAAATAACTTCCTCAGAGGCTTGTGTGGCAGCTGCTCTCATGTGCAAGTGGCCCCTGCAGCTGCTCCAAAGCTTGGAAGCAGGCGCAGCTTCCTTGCCCTGTGGAGCTGGCTGCCCTGGGGAGGGCAAGGCGGGAATGCTGGAATGGCATGGGGGTGGGAAGCAGGAATAAGGTGCAACAGTGTGTTAAATGCTTGGGAAGCACTGTATTTTGACTGCAAGCATTCTTTAATTATGGTGGAAAAATTGAATTTGTAAGCAGAGAATTTTGTGTTCTCTGCTAGAACTCAAAGGAGAAGTGAATAGCACCAGTATATTCACAAGTGCATGGCTTCTTGGATAGGACTTGAGCAAGTCTTCCCCGTTTTTTTGCAGAAGGGGAAGACTGCTCTGGTTTCTGAATCTTCAGAAACTGTTCCCTTTCCAATTTTGGAATGTTCCAGTTACAGGTATAACTAAGTTGAAGAATAAAGGACCACTGAAATATAATCTCCATATCCTTGATATTCTGTGGTTATCTGCAGTCTATACTATATGCACCTCATGCTTGCCTGGTTTTAATTTATGGAGCTGTACTGATTCCCACACGCTATTACATGTTTGAATCCTGGTACCATTTTACTGCTTTGAAGCATTTGTTGGGAACTGACAATTCCTATGGCTTGCTGCTTGGGCAGTATTCATGTGCCTGTAGCTGGGAGACACAAGATGTCATCTTAATGACTGGCCGAAAGGTGAGAACCAAAAGGTGTTTGTGCTGCTCAGTTCCCAGGTAGAGTTAAATATTCAGTGATCCTCTGGTAGCTTGTGTGGTGCTTCTGCAGAGGCCTGTGGAAGTCTAGCAGGATGACAGACTGCTTTAAATGTGTTTTCTGGTTCTGCCTAAGCCTGCAGCATGTCAACAAGTGCAGTCAGTGGGCACAGAGGTAGCTGCTCTAAAGAAGGCATGAATATGACCAGCTCTCCAGAAGTGAGGAAGAACATGAGAATTCTTAAATGTCATCTCATTTTAGAGCATGGTGGGGGGGAAGGAAGGACATGACAATGTTGCTCTGCTGCTGAAAACTTTCTTAAACGGCTCTCCTTCTAGGAAGATACTTCAGCTGGTATCCCATGCAGCACAAATAGTTGGACAGTTTCTTGTCTGCACTGGAACATACATGCTGCAGCTGATGGATGAATACGACAACCGCGCGTGTACGAGAGCGAAGCGGGAGCAGTGAGCACAGCTGCGCTTCCAACACGGGATCCTTTTGCTTAAAGATGTTCTTTTGCCCAGTTGTGATTGTCATGGCGAAGTAGGGGCTGTCCCCTGACGTGAACTAACCTTTTTATTTTTCCCCTCCTGTGGGAAAGCTTGTAGGCCTTAGCCATAAAATGTTTGGTGTTCATGTCCTCTTAATGGGAAAAGGCTGGGTGCCTCATACTTGGGAATTAGGCAAATGGAGAGGCCATCAGACAAATCAGTATACTTAGCAGGCAGGCTTTGTATCTGTTTTTTTCTTGCACTGATCAAAACATGGCTTGTGTTCATAGCTGTCTACTTGTCTTCTGAACAGACTGGCCTTTAAAAGGTTTATTTGGACTTTTTTAATAGCTTGTGACATCCCAGCTGATACCAGCGTTCAGCTGTGCCTGAGGTCCAAAAGGGTGGAGGGTCCTTATTTACAGTAAACTGAATTTTGCTTCAGTGGCTCTCCGACTAATCACATGCAGTCTAATTTGAGAAAGTGCAACTGCTAAGAAGAAGCCATAAACTTAGCCTTACTTTTCTTAAAGCAAGCAAAAACATTTCATATAACTCCTTGTACTTCAAACCTACAGAAAGTTCTGGTTGTTTTAGTCCGACTAGTTGAAGCATATGTTAAATCCCTAAAGCACTGAAAAAATTGCCTTAGTTTTAGGATAAGACTTATAGGGAAACCCCCGAGCCTTTCTTCAGAGGCTAAACCTTCAGTTTTGTATCTTTCTGCTCCAAGATGTGACGCTACATCACAGGCTGTACCTAAGATACATGTAGTATGGGTCTGTAGAGACTCCTGAACTCCATGCCCCTGTATTCAGGGGAGGGCAAGGGGACACCGGCTAGACTTGTATAACATAGGTGTGCTCTTAGACTGGATATTTGCAGTCTACCAAGATAAGCTGTGTCAAAGAGCAAAGTTTTTAATCTTTAGGTAGAATTGTCCAGAATGTTTTCTGCAGTTTACTGAGCTGCTAGAATGACTTGTTTTCAGCAAGTGTCTCCTTAATAGTGTGAACAAACAGTGGTGGGGGTCTTGTGTCAAAATGCAGACCCCTGTTGTTGAAAGGAGGGGAGGAAAAAGCATCACTGAAAGGATTTTTTTTTTTGAGGTGTCTGACCCATTTTAGATACATGCTTGGATATATTCTTGCTCAATAACAAGAGAGTTAAGGGTAACAGATGCTGCCCAGGAAGAGAAACTCAGTAATGAACAAGGATGATGGGGCAAAGAAAGCAGTAGGAGCAAAAAGGAAAGGATGCCCAGGTGCCTGCTGCACCTCTGTGGAGACAGGAACTGTTTCACCATCAGCTGCCCTTATTAGCCCTCTCTGGACTTGGAAAGGAGAAGAAAACCCAGTGCTCTAAAAGAGTAACAGGGGCATGGAAAGGCCAAGAATCATGGTTTGTGGTATCTGGTCTGATCTATCAGCTGGATTTGTTTGCTTCAGATGTCACTAATACCCACTTTATCTACAAACCTCACCTTCCTGTGCTTATCATGCCTTCCCTTAAAGGATCTGACTTGGCTGAGGCTGCGTCTTTCAAATGGCTGTTTGTTGGGATGAGAAGCAGCCTAAAGGCCCTTAAAGGGACTGATGGACAAGTTTACTATGTCTGTCCCTTTAGTAAGGGTTTTACCAATGAGTAGACAGCTAAGAAAGCCATGTTTTCTGTTTATTTTCCATCCACTTAAGAGTTTTGCTTTTTTCTAGGGGATGTGGGGTGGCAAGGCTCCAGGCAAGGGGAAGGCTGCTGTTTAATATCCTCTCCCAGGGAGGAAGGGCTGCAACTTGTAGCACTGTCAAGTTGCCTTTAAAAGAAAACACTACAACTACTCTGCAGCTCCTGAGAAAGAAGTTACGTTAAAATGAAAGCTTTGTGCGGCGTGCATTGTGCTCTTCCCCCACCACCACACTGCGCTCTGAAATAGTGACTGTTGGCCAAGGTCTCGCTATCGGTATCAAGGAATAGCATTTAGCTGAGGCAGTCCAAGCGCCTTGGCATTAACTCTTTCAGGGCCATTTATTCTATTAAAGCAAGCCTGTGTTTTGAAAGTACACCCTGCATAATCCTCTAGGAATATTGGGGGGAGGGGGGAATGAATGCCAACATTTTTAAAAAATGCATTGTCAATACTACACTAACCTGTGCATTGCCTCTTTGACATCTGTACTGCACAAACATTTGTAAGTCTGAACTGCAGCTCTCCAATTCCAGCCTCCTGTTGCTGGAGGGAATCACTGCAGAACTAACGCTACTTCCCAGAGTCTACTTGCAACTATACAAAAATTTAACAAAATCTAAAAGACCTGATTGGGGATGAATTTGGAATGTTTTCAAGTGGCTGCTGCTTTGAGAGCTTCACATGTAGAACTTGAGCTGCTGAAGGTCATCTGAGCAGCAGAGCCTCTATCTTGAAGTATCTCTGTGTTCCAGCTCAAAGTACAAACAGCTGAACAAAGTAACTCAAACTTGCTGTTTCCCACAATGGGAGAAGTGTCTTGGAGAGTTCTGCCATTGCTGTGGAGCCTGAGTTTTGCTGTACAATTAGTATTTGGGGGATGGTCTCAGCTACTGTATATATATATTTTTTTTTCCCCATAGATAAAGTTTTGGTGTGGAGTGCTTAGTTCTCTGAACTGGAGCCACTTTGGTGTTTTTTTACAGCCTGCTGAAGAGGCCTTGCTTTCACTTCGGCTCTACATGGTACGTGGCTAACAACAACTTCAGCATTTTCTAGCTTCCAGAAAATAAGCCACATGCAAGCGTGGCTTGCAAGGGTGCAGGCTCATAAGACACAGATTTTTTTTTTTTTTTTTTTAACAGAAACTCTTATCTTTGGGTATGCAGAAATGAAGCTGCTTTATTACTTTTTTAACTTAAATGAGACTAAAAAAATAGAAATTAAATAGGCACGTTACGTTTGCAGTCAGGGCTTGGTAGCACCGCACTGTCGAAGGTGTGAAATGTGTTTAGTGCCTCCTTGCTTGCACTAGCCCTTCTGCCTGTTGCACTTCCTGGCAATCCAATGCACCAAGTCATGCTCCCTAGTTACCAAAAAAGGAATTTTCACTGAAGTACTCAATCCTGTTGACTCAGGCACTATTCACAGGCTGCAGGCAAAACAAAGCTGCTCTCTGCAGCTGGACTGAAGAATCTACTAGCTTTTCTCTTTTTTTCCTTTTTTTTTTGTTTTGTTTTGTTTTTTTGTTTCTGCACATATGATTCAGGATTTCATTACTTCATTTCCTTCATTTCATTAAACACATGAAGCTGTTGTTTTCTTGCACCTTCCTGTTCTTTCAGGAGAGATGTGATTACAAACCTTTCCGTCTAGGGATACGGGATGAGGCAGAGCCCTGATTCTTTAGATCCTTTGGAATATGCTCTAGGCAACATCCTGAATTCCTTCCCTGCATTGAAGGGAGTGGCTAGAGAAAGGAAAATGGGACTTTGGGCTACAAGTTTGTTTTTTTGTATGTTTGTTTTTTAGTATGGTGTGTAAAAAGGCAGGTATTTGAAAATTAGGAAATGCTGGTACTTCTCAATAGTACTGTGAAGGTAATTGCAATGCATGTTGTCATTTGTAACTGACTAAAGTTATAACTCTGCATCATTTCAGCGTGCTTTTTCCTGAGTTAGCACTTGAATTAAGGCACAAGCTTCATAAAAACTGTTTAAAACTGAAATACTAAGTTTATTTTTAATACCTCTGGTTTGCTGGAGATACTAGCATCATTAACATGTCACTTTAGCTGTGTATCAATAAATAATCCTCATGGGGTTTAAACATTTTTCATTTTTATGTTTCTACCTTACACTGTTATATATCTAGTTAAAATATTTGTAGTCATAAGCGCTGCTGTTTTTCTAAGGGAGAAGATGGTGTTTTACCACTTCACAACTTCTAAGTCCACTAGTTTAACTTGCTATGAAATTAAGATGGGTGGGAATGAAAATGTGTCAGTGATGACAGGTCCTTTTTTGCTATGTAGTGCCAATTTTATGAAATGCTGTCCATGAATAAATATATTCAAATGGTGGCTATGGATGGTGTCTCTCTTGATTTCCAGAATAACTTATTCATGAAATAACCATCACAGACCTGTGGGCTGCCGCGGGCGGTTTCAGCACGCGGGGCTGCAGCCCGGAGGTGGCCGGGTACTCTTACAGGGCTTCCAGCTCCAAGCATCTCCTGCTGACTCACTTTCTGGCTGCGGAGAAGCTGTTCAGCCTGTTCCTTTAATGTGAAAGGAATGCCCTCCTCCATCTGTTTTCCTGAAGCTGCAAAGGACTGAGTGCTGGGGAGGGAAGGCTTGGGGAAGCTCTCGTAGCAGTTGCTCTTTTCCATTAAATGTAGGAAAGATCAGGAGTCTGGTTTGTAATGCCTCCTGGAAAACTCTGCAGTCCTGTGTACGCATACAACAGTGTGTTTTCTTTCTGATGGCATGAAAATATGAATTTAATTTAGTGGAATATCCAGATTTCTCTAATCCAGGATTCTTTTAGTCTTCAGGAAAAAAACAATGCAACAGAAAACAGAATGATGGTATCAATGTAGCGCACTGCTGCCTAGTAAGTACAGCCAATCGGCCTGAGTGACTCTTTTGCAGAGTTTCACTATCGCTCTGTATCTCGTGTTGAGCAGTTTCCCTCTTCTGGAAGAGCTAATGTCTGTGCTTTTGCTCTAGAAAAGTGCACAGCAGCAGTCTCTTGCAGAGACAAAAATAAACAGCTTACAATAAGCTGGTCAGTAAAATCAGCAAATGCGAGAGTATTTTTGGAGTGGTTATTCACAGCTTTGTTTACCAAGAAAAACTGCAATTACAAACTACTCACCCTGACCAGGCTGTATCATGACTGCTGATCTTAAAAAAAAAAAAAAAAAAAAAAAAAAAAAAAAAAACCACTTGATGACCTCAATCTAGAGCTGCCTTTTTTGCTTTTAAGGTATCTTAAAAGTCATGCATCAATGTGAGCTGTCCATGCTATGCTTCTCCTAGTGTTTTCTCAGTTATGAAGACTGATAATAAATGTTTAT